GAAAGAGAGGCAGTAAGGTTAGCTTGAGTATACAAGTCATAATCCAAATATAGAACACTCTCAGGGATTTATTTATGTTTAAGGACAATATACATAATGTTCCCAATGCTTAGCAAATGAATGAAAGTCTGGCTGAGTAAAATATTAACACAACTTGTTAGCACTTTATCATGAAAAGACAGAAGGCATAAAATATATACTTTGCTGTTACACTTTTTTACTGTTCAATGTACCTGTAGTGAAAAAATATACATTTTACTTTCAAGGTTAAAATAGGCTATCAGCTCATTATCTCTTTTGGCCATTAGCTATGAAGACAGAATGGCTCTCCTTACCTCTGGCCCGCTTGAATATCTTATTTGTGCTGAAGCCAAAAAGAATGGCAGTGCTAAGGAAAAGGGTGTACCCAGTTTCCAAGACGGGTACAGTTGAAGCTCTCACACAAGTTGCCTTAAAACAAAACAAGAACAACACAACTCAGTTGATCTGATCTCCATATAATGGGGTTATAGCATCAACTGTTCCATCCCAGGCAGAGCACCCTGAAGGACCCTTAGGATCTAGACCTGTTGTCCAACAGAGTAGTTTTGGGACGGAACTGGTATCTGAAGGTTTCCTTATTATAGTCCCCAAATTCCAATTCAAGCCCTCTTATAGTCTGCTCTTCTTTGGTCTTTAAAGTCATAAACCCACTTTGTCCAACCTCCCATAGCCATGAAATTAGCTTCCAGCAATACAGAAGAATTCACGAAACATGAAAAATAAGCATTCCCCAACTGCTGACAGCAGAGCAAGGCTTCTGTAACTAGAACAAGTCACATCAGTTGAAACCCTGCAATGCCTCTTAGAAGTTCCTTTGTTGTCACATGTGTTAATAAATGTAGAGAATAACTACACAAGCCTAACGGCAACTGTGTACCAGGAATGTCCTGCTCACACTAACAGACTGGTTGATTCAGGGCATGCCTTTAAGGCAGCCTCCAAATGCCTGTTTTAGGGGAGGGCAGCAGCTCTTAGAATCTGCTTGCATTGCTTTTAAAGTTTGGCCCTCCATGTCTGCTGCTCTTAGGAGTTTCACATTACCAAATGCATTTCTCCTGACAAACGAGCAAAACTGAGTGGTTCACAGAGTAATACGTTTAAATTACCATCAATGACTGAGCTGTCAGTGTTGGTGGGCAGTCTCCCTTAGCTTGTGCTGAAGGAGGAGCAAGATATGCCTGCTGAGGACTCCAAAAACCCAAATCCCCACTTCTTACTAGGAACTTGAACCACACTGAGTCATGATGCAAAAAAAACCATAACAAAATACCCATAACTCAAGTATAAACTCAACCAGTCCTTTGAAATCAGAGTTTTACTTGAAACAGAGTAAACCAGTTGGAAAGAGAAACCAAAGTTACTAGTGTTCTATTTAACTAGTGGGGATAAAAGGCCTCTCAACTGCTCTTTCATTTTGTTCACATTCATAACGTTCAAACCATAACCTGATGAGTCCTACTTGTCAATAACATGAGAAGATCTGGTTGCTATGATATGTGAAAAGTTTTAATATATTTTTATAATCACATTCCCTTGGTGATATCTAGTCAGAAGGTGCGATTCTAGTTTGTGTTGAACAAATGTTTTTAGCTCTAAGGTGTTATACTGTAATTGAGATCTTTCCAACTACTGTTTAGAAGACATTTGCACATGCCTATCTTAATTACAAGAAACACATCAATTACAGATATTACCTTATTGATCTTCTATGTCAATTATTACCATGGCTGTGAGATCATTTAGGAAACAGACAAGTATCACTTAGACTATAGAATCAAATCACATCGTAAGAGAAGACTGCTTTAGAATAGTTCAGACAGTGGTAGGAAATCAAAGGAAAGTTCATGTTTTTGATTACTCACCCTAAAATATGCTGAAATTGAACTTTTGCAACCCAAGTAACCAAAGACACATTGAAAAAAAACTATAACTTACTACATATTGAGTTCATTTCAATCACAGTAGTCTGTTTTAAAAACAAACTCCCATAAGGAATACAGGAATGAAATCCAGTCAAAGCAACAGCTGTCAAAAGTTCTGCCAAGAAACTCAGAGTAACTTACGGCATCATGAAAGGTGAGGTGTTCAGAAGAGCAAATAGTTCAATCATATTCTTTTCCTTCAGATTTTATTTTTCACTTCAATCCAAGAGAAATGTCTAGATCTAAAACTACTTCAGACATATTTTCACATTTAAAGATTAATTAAGACAGTAAAATTCAATAGGGTAAACAGGAAAAAAAAAACCTTCTACTCCATTTATAGTACTGATAGAAGGTAGAGGATCTAACTCGCAATCCATAAAATCAGGCTGATATCCCACCTCTGCCACTAGCTACCTCTTTCTATGGATTCTTGGGCCAGTAATTGCTGTTTCTTAGGGCCTTGGACTCCCTACATGCAAACTACAGGAGAGGATTACCAGTTCTGCCCAGCTCTGACATCCTATTCTCCAGTAAGGTAAGATGAACACAGCTTCTGGCTAAGCCGCCTCTTCTCCTAATAAGGCCCAAGCACTTGTCTAATATTTGTAAAGCAGTGAGATCCTTCCAACTAAGGCAAATATCTGCCTTGATTGCAACATACATATCCATTCTATATATCTACCTTTTGGTTTTGTTTCATGTCTGCTGAATAGGTAGGTAGCAAAAGCAATAAGCCACAGACAAGAGATGTGGAGGGACCCATTAAGCCCACTCTCAGCTCCTGCTGTGCTTTCATTTGTAGGATTGTATGATCCCGATGGGGAAAGACCACTTACCAACAAGGTAATTAAACCCCCATGGATGAGGGCAACATTGACTTGATGTCTACAGAAGCGCGTCTAATTTTGGAGGAGTTTTATAGAAGAGGTATAATGGTGATTTCAATAACCCAGCTTTTCTATAAATCACATTAAAAGCTCACAGAAACATTATAAAAAGGTGTTATAATCCAAAATTAAAAGTGCTCATCCTAAGAAAATAGAGTAATGGAGGATAAGCAATAGTTAGGTAATAATAATAATAATATATGTGTATATGTATATATACACACATACACAAATATTTGTTTTTTTAAAAATCCACTTCTAAGCAACTAATAAACTCTGGTCACAATTAAGACTAATCAAGAAGGTTAGGTATAGATACTATTGGTGTGTGCTTTAATGCAATGCCTATCTTAAACTATTGGTGAGACTATGAAACTCTGGGGGCTTTGATTGTCCAATGCAAGTGTTTTCCTTTAACAAAAACCAAGCCAACTAAACAAAACCCCAACCTCTTAATTTGGCTCGCTGGGCATTGACTTCACGGAAGAAAAATGTATGTCAATATTTTTTAAATGCATAGTACAGACTAACATTCCTTAGTTTATATGTCTGGTTAATGGATATGAAGTGCTATCCCGAGTGAGTACATATGTACTGGAGGATTATGAGATAAAGTGCATATGCTAGTCTTTCCTGGATTGAATGTACCAAAAGCCAAACATGCTGTGAAACGTCTGTTGTAAGTACACTGTTGATAAAACTTGTTGCAGCCCCTAGATCTCAGAACATGAGAAGATTACCTAAAAATTTGCACTGACCTATTCATAATCTTAGGAAGGGTTTAAACTCACTCCCAACCCTTCCCCACAAGAACAAAAAAAGGCAGACAAAGGAGAAAAAAAAGGAAATAGAGAAATAGTTCAAGTTTTGTGATTTTCAAAATCAAATCAATTCAAAATCCTTAAATATGCATGGAATAGATTCGACAATTTGTTTCTCTTTGAAAAAAACATCATCTGTTTGAGCCTTTCTATTCTGCTAAGCTATTGATAAAGCTTGCAATGGAATAAGGAAGCATTAAATAAATGCCTACTTTTTCTAACAGCTCTTAGCTCTACTGAAATCAAAGGCTTAATCCCACATATTGTAAACATATCCGAACCCCTTCAAAAGGACCTCAGGCACACCCCACCCCATTATTCTAAGAATGGGTAAATTAGCAAAATGCACAAGAGATAGCATTTCTTGCCATTGGTCTCTCAAAGCAATGTTAAAGTTGGCACGCCCTGTGAGGGTCAGTGACTCTATGACCCTGTGGGGTCAGTCAATTCCTACTTTCACCTTGGGTTCTCAGGAGGAGCAGCAGCTACATAGATTTCTGTAGAATACTGGCTTCTGCAATTTGAACTTATTGTTTTCCATCTCCCATACTGGAGCTAGTTGGGCTCCTCTGAACCTAACATAAACCTATCACTTCCCAGGAGTACACTTCAGAGAGAATGAAACAGTCTAAATCCAGTGTGAGGACTTCTTATTTTCATTATTTCTTCATACCCAAAACTTTTGCAATCCAGGTTAAAATAAAGAGGAAAATAACTATGAAAGATGTTGGACTGTTGGTAACAACCACTTCCCCTTCTTTCACAGTTTGGATACCTGTGTTCAAACAACAAATGTTTATCAATCCAAATAGCCTCATCAGCCTTTCCGTATTTTATGGTGGATTCCAAACTCATGCATTTACAGACATGTTATCTCATGCAGGACAAAAGTAGAGATCTGGCAACTATTTATTTAATTTGATCAGGAGAGGCAGTTAGAGCAGATTGTTCTTACCCAAAAACTTACATGAAAGGACTGAGTTATCTGGGTTGATGGCCTACTTTGGCCAAGTTAAATAGCTCATTGCCAAAACCTCCACTTCACAGAGGTGTAAAGACCCAATAAGTCTTTGACATTCAATAGAAAACAATAGTCATGTATTATTTATAGCTAGGTATAATATCAAAATGGCACTAGAGAAGCAATTTTTGGCATATAGTGGTAGAGGGCACAGCGCCAGTCTAAATCTGATGCTTTTGTTTTATTTTAGCTTTTGTTTTTATTATCATCATGCCAAAGACTATGCAGTTGGAATCCCAATTATTCAGGAAACCAACCTACTATATGTGATATACATACAAAAATAAAACAAGCATCCTGAAGGTACTTGGTTATAAGGTTTTATACAAATCATAAATTCTTCAAATAAATAATGCTCTAAATTATTTTTATTTGCTAGAAGATTGATTTTTGGTACAGAACAGCATCTAACACCTTGAGGAAGTACTTAAGAATGGGAGATAAATTCCACTGATAGTTACGCTTTCAAGTGTGATAATCAACTGAAGTATTTTTTCCACCAGAGTAAAATGTACAAGTGAAGGGTAAGAGAAAAGGTCATATGGATTATACTCTGCTGCTCACAGATTTTGACACAGTCGGACATCTACAATAAGCAGTTGGGCTCAAACATTCTAAAGAAAGATCTTGGCAGACAAGGTCACCCACTGTCACTTGACCTTGAGGGTCACAATACAGTGACTGGACGAAGTTGTTCCAATTGGTTTTCCAATGCAATCCGTTCTTGATGAACCTCCTGAGTTGTACAAAACAGAGAGAAGAAAAACAAAAAAGCAAAGGGGTCATTTTCTGGGTTCATCTCTGCTTCATCAGATATTAAAAGGAAACTTATAACTGGATCCACAAACACTTAAGTGCCATATAACTCAAGAACAGGTGAACTAGAAGGCATCAGATTTAAAGCCGGAGACAGTAGAGATCTAAGTTGTTGCCCAAAACACTAAAAGAAACTGGCCCTAGCCCTGAGCCAAATTCCTGAAACCTTCATGGAAATTCCATACCCTGACCCCCTTGCTGCAGACATCCCTAGGTAGAACATTCTTTTTTTCTTGCTGCCCATCACAAGGATATGCTGCAGCGCTCTGTACATAAGTTCTCCTAATATTTAGTACTTCTTTCTTTGGAATCCCAAAGGTTTCAGGCACCCCCTTGTGGGAATTCCCCTGCTGCTGCTTTTAGGACAGCTCCAGCCGATGGTCTGGCAGATGAATCAGGTTGTTTCCAGGTTTTGGCTATCACCAATAAAACCACTATGAACATTCATGTACAGATTTTTGGGTGAACATAAGTTTTCATTCCACTAAGATAGATACCCAGGATTGAGACTGCTGGGTCACACAGTAAGTGTATGGTATAACTTCACAAGAAACTACTAAATGATTTTCCAGGATGGTGGTACCATTTTGCACTCCCACCACCAACCAATGCATGACAGTTCCAGTTGACACTACTTGGTGGTGTCACTAGTTTTTTGTTTTAGCAACTCTAATACGTGTGTAGTCATATGTAATCGTGACTTAAATTTGCATTTTCCTAATTGCTAATGATGTTGAATATCTTTTCATGTTTTTATTTGCCGTCCTTATATCCTTTTTGATGAAGTCTGTTCAAGTCCTTTGCCCATTTTTAAATTGAGATGCTTGAGTTCTAAGAGTTCCTTACATAATCAGGATACAATTCATTTGTCAAATACATACTTTGCAAATATTTTCTCCCAGTCTGTATCTTGTCTCTCAATTCTCTTGACAGTTTTTGGCAGAGCAAAAGTTTTAAATTTTGATAAATTCCAATTTACTGAGTTTTTTCTATTACAGATTGTACTTCTTGTGTCATATCTTACCCCAGGTCATGAAGGTTTTTTCCTATGTTTTCTTCTAAAAGTTTTATAGCTCTATGTTTTACATTTGTATCTATGACCCATTTCAAGTTTACCTTTGTACAAGATGTGAGGCTTAGATCAATTCTTTTTTTTTTTTTTTTTTTACATACAGATGACCAATTGTTACAAAACAATCTCTTAAAAGACTATCCTTTCTCATTGAATGATTTTGCACCTTTGTCAAAGATCAAATGACTGTACTCATGTGGTCTACTTCAGGACTCTCTATCCTGTTCCATTGATCTATGCATCGGTCCCTTCACTAATACCATACTCTTTATTACTGAAGCTTGATAGTAAAGTGATTTTTCCAACTTTCTTCTTTTTCAAATTTGTTTTAGCAATTCCAGTTCCTTGGCCCTCACATATAAATTTCTAGATCAGTTTGTCTATATCCACAAATACCCTGCTGGGATTTTGATTGGTATTGCAATGAATCTTTGGGGAAAAAATGACATCTCTCTCTATTATGTTGAATCTTCCAAATTCACAAACAAGGTATGTCTCTCTGTTTATTTAGGTCTTGGATTCCTTTTACAGCATTTTGTAGTTTTCAGCATATAAATCCTGTGTGTGTTTTGATAGATTTATACCTAAGTATTTCACTTGGGGGAAGGGGCAAGCTATTATGAAATAATATACTTTTTTTTTTTTTTGTCTTTTGTCTTTTTTCCGTGTCCGGCAACGGATCGCAACCCTCAGTGTTGCCCCCGTACCAGACTGGGGACCGGCAACGGGATCGCAACCCTCGGTGTTGCTCCCGCGCCTCGCTCAGCCA